CCTTGCATTAGCAGCAAAGACAAACTATTTGCCACATTTCAAAAGCAATAATCAACAGCAATAAACAATCCACCTCCCCATCCTTATGGCTGCACAGAAGAATTAAGACTCTCATCCACAGCACAAAGGCAAAATTTGAGAAGCCAAAAGAAAGACAAATTTGCTGGCATGGGGAAGAGTGGAGGCAGATGGCATGAATGAGTATAGAAAGGGATTATTTGGACTCCTATACAACAGGTCCATAAACAGATACCAAAAGGAACAGGCAGGGATGGGACACTTAATATGTCTCTGAGAACACATGTGGTTGGTGGGGGAAACTGTCTGGAGGAACTGCAGAGTTCTCCCCAAATCCCATGTCTAAACAACCACATAAATCCCAAACCCCATATAAGAACCTGATTTCAGGGCCAAGTGGAGGGGAAAAAAGGCACTAAGATTTCTCAGTCTCTACCAAACTGTATCAGACTGGTCCCTAGGTCAGCTAAGGAAATGCTGGCTGGCAGAGAGCTGCTGCAGCTCTGATGGAAAGAATAGAGCACCTTTAATGTGTGTACCTCAACCCACTGCAATGAAAGGATTTATGAGACAGAAAAAAATCCAATACCAGAAGTTAAACATGTATGTTTCACCTAACTCCAGCACTGTCACACAGAATCACTACTGCATATAGAACTGATATGAACAAGGTGAAGATGAAGTGATGAGTATCAGTAAGTTGCCCAGATTATTTTTCATGTCAGTGGAAGACTAATATAAGCACTTATATCTATCAATATTCTCTCTGCACAAATACTGAATGAAGCTCAGTTAGTCATGCATCATTACAGCTGTGACTGATTAGAAGATTATTTTGTATATTATTGCTTATTTAGAGAAGAAATTCCCAGTCACTCAGGAGATGGCACAATGTCATTTTGACATGAAAGGTGATAGCTTCCTTTGCTTTATTACTTACTCTATATTAATTCCTCCTCTGCAAAAAACCCTACAATCCTATCCACTTATTTTGGAGTGAGCAGTTGCACAGACTGCACGCTAAGGAAGGCTTAGTGAGCGTCTGGTAGAGCAGTTTAGTCCTGGAAAAATGCTACAAGCAGTTAATCTCATGTTAATGTCAAGCACTAGCTGTCCCTGGAGTCAAGCTAAGCATTTTGTATTTACAGTAATACAGCAATAGTACCAAAGGACAGACTAATCCTTTCTAAAATAAGATTGCATCACACTAAGAGTCCTCCCCATAACAAGAGGTGAAATGATACATTTTCATTAGGTGCAGTGTCTCTTGCATAATCAATTCAAAGGGCCTCTGATCATCATGCAAAACTGGAATGGCCTTGTCCACAGCTAGTAAAAACTCCGAAGTGAGAGCCAACAATATAAATTACTTCAGTAAGCAAGAGCAAGTCTGTATGAAGCAAATGAACTCATGGATTTTTAAGTCTAGACAGTATTTGTACCATAACATTCTGAGCATACTAATGACTATTTATTTCCCATTGCCTGAGGGCAGATGGAAGTGCTCTTTCACAAAAGACTGAAAAACAGTTTGAAGGAAAATGGGTGAGCAAGTACATAATCTGCAGGAATTACAATCATTGATTACTCAATTCATACCAAGCAAGTTTCTACTTATTAAGACAACCCGTGTTCTGCAGGAGTTAGGTGAGCAGTGCTGCTGCAG